TAATGTTATCGTTGGTGCAATTAGTAGCGCCATTTGAACAGCTACTGCAAATCAGCGCTACTATTCTATTTGCTAGCAGCTATACCCGGGCCTTGCATCGGGGTCAGTATGCAAAAGAGACAATGTTGGTTCTTAGAAACATGCCAAATGGTTTTCCAAATGCCAAATTTAGAAACAAAATTTAACTGTACTACTTAACTTGATAATAGTACGTTTTTGTTAAATCTTACTGTGATTACTTATTTATGCTACCTACCATACAAAACCAAAGATAGATTTTAAGGTATAATAAAAGAATGTATTTCATGGTTTGCACTGTAAACGAAAAACTATCACAATAAACCTCATAAAACTCCTAGATTGATAGGGCAATGATTATAGAATCTTAATTATTTCCTATATCCATGAACAATTTTTTTACAACGAATTATTCCCTCTAAAATATTATTACAGCATTTCACAAATATTAGAACAGACTCAGTATAATAGATCATAAACATAAACAAATGAAGTAACTGAAAGATTCATATACTAATGAAATTCAAATTATATTAACATATGGTTTGACAGCTCCATTTAAGTAATGTCAAATAATGTTTACATTCGGGCTAGTGACATCATTATTTTAAATTTATAATCCTTACCCTCTCTGTTCTAATATTCGTGCAGTATTTAATATGTTTGAACCAGCTGTGTGGAAATATGAAATCAACATTCATTTGACAGTTAGTTCTGCTTGTTTACATTTTTAAACTTTGTAGGTTTGTTCTTTGTTACCATGGATACCATCAATCAATATTTACTTTTAAATCTCTCACCTCAAATTTTTGAAAGCCCACGGGGCAGAGCCCTAGGACAATATCGAAGCGGGAATAGTTCTATATGTATCCTCGGAGCTGTAGCTTCATTTGTGTGCAATTTGAGCCCAGTCGGTTCAGTAGTTTTTGAGATTACCTCATACAAACACACACACAGACACCACCTCTTCTTTATAATAGTATAGATAGATTTTCTACTATTTAGTTTTTGATTTGTGTGGATGTTAAAATCTATTTCAAGCATCTGTATTAGATTAAGACAGAGGCATGTGGGAAATCTAAGGTTTATTCGAGTTTCTTTCTATATAGGTAATTATGTATTAGATTGAATGTATGGCCTACCAACTAACTACAAAGAATCAAGAATCAAGAATATTTTAGGAAGTGGTGAAGGAAGTAGTCAAGGCGAGCTGTCCTGGGTGTGGGAACTGTTTATGACGATTAGATAAGGGTATGGGCAATCCTAAAATGTTATGGGAAGGGAGGGAAACAGGTCCGCGACGTAGGAAGTGGTGAAGGAAGTAGTCAAGGCGAGCTGTCCGGAGTGTGAGAACTGTTTATGGCGATTAGATTAAGGTATTTGCAATCCTAAAATGCAATGGGAAGGGAGGGAAACAGGTCCGCGACGTAGGAAGTGGTGAAGGAAGTAGTCAAGGCGAGTAGTCCGGAGTGTGGGAATTGTTTATGATGATTAGATTAAAGTATTTGCAATCCTAAAATGCTATGGAAAGGGAGGGAAACAGGTCCGCGACGTAGGAAGTGGTGAAGGAAGTAGTCAAGGCGAGTAGTCCGGAGTGTGGGAACTGTTTATGACGATTAGATTAAGGTATTTGCAATCTTTAAATGCAATGGGAATGGAGGGAAACAGGTCCATGACGTAGGAAACGGTGGTGAAGGCGAGCCGTGTGGAGTTTGGGAATGGATTTATGCATCTCCAATACTAAGGTGCTTTTAGAGTGAACTAATGATTTTCCCCGAGCAAAGCTCGGTCCCCAGGTACTATTTATAAAGGAGGAAGTTTGTATATATATATACTAGCAGAGTACCCGTGCTTTGTACGGGGTTGGCTTATAAGTTTAAAATGCTTATTGCAGTCATACCAAACTCAAGCTTTGCGTTTCCAATGGGGGAGGACACATTTTGATAAAATGTGCTTCTTTAAATTTACGGTATACTATAGTATTACAGTACACATCTACCATAGCCACGATGTTCACAACTTCACCTAAACAATAGAGAAAAAGAAATTATAAAATCAACAATTATTCAAGAAATTAAAAACATAAACATAACTGTAAACAATCAGACTTTTACAGTTCTCATTGCATATTAAATTTTTTTGTTGCTGCTGAGTTAAAATTAGCTGTTTTCATAAATAATGAAAAAAATAATAGTGCTGCACCCTGTTGTTAAATCTTATAACTTTTAATGCTTTTGCATATCATAGAACCAACTTTTTTAGTTGAAACAGCTGACTAAAATCCTTACCTAATTCCCTTTAAATATAAATACTCATAAGGTTAACATGGGGAACAACAGAGCCACTGGGGCAGAGCCTGAAAGGATATTGAGATAAGAATATGCCTATATGTTAATCGGGAATGTGAGCTATACATGTCAAATTTCAGCCCAATCCGTCCAGTAGTTTTGCGTGATTGAACTTCAAATAAACAAACAAACTTTGACATTTATAATAGGCTATTAGTAAGATTTGAACGTTATGGACTCCAAAACCACTGGACAGATTCTAATGAAACTTTCAGGCATTATCTATACAGGGTGTCCCGTAACTCTCTTGACATAGCGTTATTCCTTAGGTCAAGACAAACACATTTCCCCATTAGGATCATGGGTCTGTGGGGTCGCGGCGGGTAGCCCCTATATTACAATTTAAATTACAACCAAACTACACTAGCCAAAAACTTTTTAAAAAATGATCCAAAAAATTCAACTCTTTAGCTACAAAATCCACCCTTTTTTAACTTACCTGACCAAAAAATAAAAATAGTAGCAGCCGAAGAACTTTTTCATGGGATTTTTAAACTATTTTTTTTTAAACGTACCGACTTTATTTGAAGATTTAAAATAGAAAATAGGCTACTAACTTTTAAGCTCTTAAACAGTTTGTGACATCTAAGCTGGCACTTGGCCTAGCGCGGGCAGTGTAGGCGGGAGGAGGGTGGAGGTAGGGAAAAGACCAGACTGCAAACATTTCCTCTGCCTCACGGGGTTGACTTTCCTTGTGTATTATGTAGTTAAGCGCCTTCATATGGATCACGGGGACAGTTGATGCAACCCGCATGACGGGACAAAATGTTTTTGAACTAGGTACCTACTAGTAGCGATCGGTCAAGTGCCAGCTTAGATGGCACGAGCTGTAATTAAAACCAATACTGTCAAGAGACTTATTGACTTCACTCATACGAAGTTTTCAACCATATAACCTTAGTCTAAATTTAGACTAAATGTCAAGTTATTTTGAAGCGGAACATTGAGTTTTGGTGCTGTTTTAATATAGGCCTACATCTAGCGCTTCTAACTTACAGTAAGATGGCGGGCCTGGCTTCACCTGTTTTAATGTTAGTTAGGTAGGCGTCCTCCATCTATTGGTCTTATGTGATCGTTGGTTAGGGTAAAGGGGTACAGTTTCTTAACTGGGCTATGCTAATATCGATTTAAACTATCAAATTGAAAATATTTTATAGGCCTAATAATCGATATTTTAAAATATATCTAGGCCTACTATAAAATTAAACTATCATAACCTAACCTAAAGTAGGGTGGTCTGTCGTTACACTTTAGACGCATAAATGAGCGGAGCATTAAAGATTGTCAGTGCTTGATGTAGTTTTTCACGTCGAACTTTGAAAATGATATGGCCAAAGACGCCTTGACGTTGGACAATGATGATTTTTAAGTTTTCGGGCAGTGTAGGTAAGACAGGTGCTATTTCATTACAGTAATATCTTGCTCAACATTACTTAATGATGTTTCCTTTGTAGTGAAACTGGCCATCCTGACCATTTGCTTGTACTGTACTATGTTAAAGCGCATAGCGGGATGTACTCGTGCAAACTACGTTTGTTCTACAATCGTCAGGTCAGGTTAATTCGTTCGGGACACTTGACATATCCATATTATTTAACGCCGTGAATTTAGTTGCATTTGAACGACAACGCAAACAAATCGGTGATTGGTTCGAAGCTGTTAGTTGTTGGCGATGACAGTTAGTGCAAGTGTAAAATTTTAGTGCATCTAATTCATGTTGGAATTGATTAGCTAACTGCCTATCATTAACTTATCAGCTAATTCCGCCACTGCTTCATCTGGTTCTCCTTGTTCACGACACCACTCTCTTACAATATTTGCATTAGTGGTGCGACGACCAATATTACGACGTGGCCTTTGAGGCATGCTCAAAACAAATATAGCAAAACTGTTACTTCCATAGATAAACTGTTACATTCCAACTTTAACCTAGGATGAAAGTAAACATTGAAATGTAAACAAAACAGTTACAAACAATTAACGTAAAATATGTTTATCTTATTTAAATGAAACAAGATAAACTCATAACTTAGGCTATGTCATAAACCCAATATAAATTTTTCTTTCAACTTAGGCCTACATTAAAATAACAAGCAAAATTGCGTGACCCGTAAAATAAAATCCAGTAGGAAATTTTCAAATATTTTTTACCATAAACATTGTGCTCAGTATTCTTTAACTGTTGGCCAAATTTCATATCAATTGGTCATTCTGATACTCTTACAAAGAAGTTACAAAGTGAGGGAAATCCGCTCGCTTCGCTCAACAAACCAAACTTGCTGATGGTGAAAAAATCGCATGAAAGTTAACTAATCGAATCAATAGTTTCAATTGATCTTAGCATAGGCCTAGCCCCGTTAGGAAACTGTACCCCAAGAAAAAAACCATAGCTAAACTAAAGTAAAGTGCAGCCAAGATAACTAGCTAATCTAGATAACTTAGGCCTAAGTTAGTTGATTAAGTAGGCTAATGTAAGTTAGGCTACATCTCAAGGCAGCCTAAAGAAAAAGAATGATAGCCTATGTGTAGCCTATAGGCTAGGGAAAGGCTTAAATATACTTAGAGTAAGTTAATATGTAACAATAACCCTGATGGTACTAATAGGGGGTATACAATAGAAGCTCATTTGCTTACCCACGTGTTATTCATCTGCAATTTTGTGGGCCGGTAATAACTTCCATAAACTACATGTTCACAGGATTAGGACACTAGCTCACTATTAATAGATCGCTATTTGATCTATGATTCACAGGATAGGCCTACTTCAAACAAGTAAATTTTAAAACGTTCACCTTTGTTTAGGTAAGACTTAACAAAACTACTTAACAATTGTCTGTTTCAAGAATAATAAAGCTCCTGCTGAAGTTCAACAACCCTCAACTCAAGGTTTCATTCAAATCCAAACTCCAAACAAAACAAACAATAGAACAATAGAAGACCAAAAAATTAAAATAAGAAGTTATAGGCACAGGCAGTGTTGCCGTTGCCAACAACTCTGAGCGAAAAGTCCCTAGATCTAGGAAATTATGTCCCTAGAAATCCCTAGATTTCCTAAAATGTCCCTATCCTAACCATATACTCTAGACTCACCAAGGTCACACCAATTTTTTTTTAGTGTAGCCTTGCACCAACTGACGGTTTAAGTTATGTTTTATCATTTACTATAATCATAGATAAACCATACTCCACTCCCAGTATGTTTTATCTATGCTATAATATACTACTTACAGGTTTTATCTATGCCCTAACTGAGTGAAAATTTAAAAACGGACGTTTTCAGGAAAAGCACTTTGCAAATTTTTTTCCCCTTTTTTCAAAACTTTTATTATTTTTTTATTTCATTAACATTTGAAGTTTCATAAAAAGTCCATGGTAACGCAATGTCTTTGGTAGTTTTTTTTTTAAACAGCATCTTTAGTGGAAAAACACAAAATCCTGTCACGACCATAACAGACGTTTAAATGAATATTAAAAATAGTTAATATTATTTTTATAACTGTGTTTTGCTATAAACTAATTTACTTTTATGACCATTATACAATAAAAAGGTCACTGAGCTTTTGGTATATTTGGTCTTTCTAGAAAAAAATAAAAAAACTCAAAAATTGAAAAAAAGCCAATAAAATCTTTTTAAGTTTGTATAACTCCGAAAAAACTTACCTGAGACCCGAAAAATCGTTATTTTTGTATAGAGGTGTGTGCTTCTTTCGTGTATAAAACATTGAATGAAATATGACGATATTTTAATTTTTGAAATTTTTATGATAGAAATCGTAAACGTGATGGTCAGGGACAAGCGGTACGGTCGTGAATTTTCTGAAATAATCGAAATCTTTCTAAACAATCCTTCAATTATACTGATAGTTATAATAAAAATATGTGTTTCAATTGAACTAAACTGTTCAATTTACAATTATATTAAAGTTATTGTCGCGACCAAACACACTATAATCCATAAGGCTGGATTGGTCGTGAAAAAACCCGCGATGGTCGTGAAACTTTGGTCGTGAAATTACGTGTTATTTGGCTCTGTTCTGGCGGTAGCCCTGCACCTCATGTTCGAGGATACAGAGTGGACTTCTAGGTTAATCTAGGAATTGAAATATCTTATAAACAAAAATTAACACCATGTCTACTTCATCGAATGACTACGTACGGTCATGGACACACCAAAATTACAAAAAACACAATCTTTCCTTTATTAATCTTGTAATTCCTCCTTTCAACTCGAAACAACCGGCACTACAATCCTGACGTACACCCCGAACTAGTCTCTAAAACCCACTGACTCCATCGACGACAGGCTTGCCACTGTCGTGCTCCAAAGTTGAAAATTTTCCCAAATGGTCGTGACGCCAAATCGAGGGACAGACTTATTTTGTCATGGTAGTCAGTTTGCAATGACAATAAAATTATAATATTCTCCTTTTTTGTAAGTTTAATAACCATTGATGACATAAAAATATGGCTTTATATATTTCGGCATGAATAATTAGTCTAAAAACAACGTGAAAGTTGGAAAATGTACCCTAGGGACACGCATGGTCGTGAATTTCGAGACTTTAAAAATACGAAAAAAATACCTAGAACCTATTTAAAACCAAATAAATGTGTGTAACATGTTGCCCCCGTCCCAAAAAATATTAAAACCCATAATAATAAACTACACAAATCCAGTATCTACGAAGTAAAAGGCCAGGGACATGAAAACGTACGTTTTTAAATTTTCACTCATCTATGTCCCAAAATTCACAGTTTTGGAAATTAACCTAAGAAAAACTAGTTTTAGCATAATTTTCAATAGATTTTGGAAATCTATGCATAAATAACTGACACTATTGGATTATCGCAAAATAAGAATAGGTATCTAAAATAATTAAATCAAAATCCAAACTTTCTGGATCGATAGTAAAAATTGATGATTCCTTGATACGATGCAGTCGGATAAAAATGTTTTGCTGGCAAATCAAGATGTCATAAAATTATCAAGACATAGATAAAGTATGTTTAATCGATGGTTACTGTATAAAGCCACGGCCGCCTTTAAAGATGGCCGTGATAATGCAGAGCATCCTTACAGTCGTGAAGTTAGCGGCTCTTTTCATCGGCGCTTTTTCGAATTGTAAATAGATACGGGTTGGTACGCGTGCGGGACGCAACAAACGTGTTTTGCAGGAAAAACAGTTTGATTTCAATCTCAGTGGTGACAATACCATCACGGTGTGAAATGATGGTTTTACATATGTATAATGTCAATAACACCTTGATAAAACGTGTATATGTTACGCTCAAACTCCGAATTCGGACAATGTCCGAAATCTTTAGGCCTACCCACTTCGTGATGTGGGCAGTGTGAAATACCCACTGACGGAGTGAGCATTTCTTTTCGGACATTGGCCGAAGCGAAAATGCCCAGACCGCGTTGTGGGTAAACTAGTTTAAGGTACTCAAATGCCGAAGTCAAAACGTTCTTCGGCGATTGAGCAAAGCCAAAATACCCACTACGCGATGTGAGCAAATAATTGTGCTCGTCGGGAAGTGGTTTATTTCTAGTTTATGCAAACGCCGAATAGCCTGTATAAACTACCGCATACACAAAAATCTACATGACATCCACAATCACTAGGTAGAATAAAATTTATGTTTCAAATTATATTTATTTAATGTATGTTACGAGTATAATAAATAACATTTTGGGAAAATAGGTAACTAGCAAATTACCAAAAAGGAAATTTTTAATAAAAAGGCCTGCTATAGCAAAAACACATACAATAATGTTTTTCTATGCGAGCATCTACGACTATTTCACAGTTCTTGTTATAATGTGTTTTATACTTGTTGGCTCAGTAGTATGTGCTATAATGTCATATAGAATTGCATTTTATGTATAACCATTGACTGTATAACCTAATACATTTTCACAATTTTTACCTACCTAAACGTTTCTCTTGCAACCACACCTCATGGTGGAAGACCACACCTGATAAAACCTTCCTTGGATCCAGATTACATAATTGCTTCTTAGCCTAAGTTTTAGTTGCTCATCAGGTACATCCTCGGTGCAAATTAATTTATTTGGCTTCACCTGGAATTGCTTTCTTGAGAAATATTTCTCCAGACCTCATGTTTAGCCACAGAGTATACGCTCAAGTATACTCTGTACCAAGAGTATACTTGGTAGTACTATAGTACCAATTGGTACCAAACTACTACTCTTAAGAGTTCCCGTCAACATCAGGAATTCTGACCATCCACGTTTGTCTCCTGGGATTCATTTTCTTTCCGTGTTCTGGAAATTTTTTGTGTCTGCATGTTTAAGGAAGTTACACAGCTTTCCTATGTTGTATTAATAGCAGATTTTCATGGGCAAAGAGTGCACAAAGGTATGTTAACTGCTCTCGATTTAGGTCTTCATAATGGATGTCCATGTGAGACCGAGAATTCGGCGTTTGCCGATAGAAATACCCACAACCCGTCGTGGACAATTAATTATCTTTGCTCACACCGCGTTGTGGGTACTGCATTTTGGATTTGCTCAATCAAGAACGTTTCAACTCCGGCATTTGAGTAAATCAGTTTACCCACAACACGATCTCTGGGCATTCCGCTTCGGCCAATGACCAAATAAAATGCTCACTCCGCGACGTACACATCGCAAAGTGGGTAAAAATTTCGGACATTGTCTGAATTCGGAGTTTGAGTGTAACATATACATAGACGTGCTGAACTAAATAATTCATGTAAAGGCATATTTGAGGTAGTATTGTACACATTATACGTAGCTTTGGCTTAACAAAACACGTTCAATTAAAACTCCTAACATAAAAAAGAGCATAATCTTTTTCCTTAGCCCATCACATCAACTTTGAGCTATTCTAATGGTAATGGTAATATACAATGTTTAGAATAATCAGTATGCAGCGTTGCTATCCACTCAGCACAGCATAGCAACGCTGGTGTCGCTTACTACGAATTGACAGGCAAAGCTCTCTCAAAGTACTAAGTACTTAACGCTTTTTACCATGCGGTTGGCTTTCTGGGTTATAGTAGTATGTTTTCTGTGCTCTAGAGCCCCTGTGCCTGTGGTGGAGCCCGAAAGGATTTTTGAATATGTTAATCGGGAATATGAGCTGTCATCATACCATATTTCAACCCAATCCGACCAGTAGTTAATGTGTGATTGAACTTCAAACAAACAAACATACACACTTTTGCATTTATTAGTATGACGTTTTTAAAATATTTGTCTACCCCGAGACTTTGAAAGCGATAAGTATGGTCGAAAATTGTCCTAAGTTAATGTTTTAAGTTTATGGCATTCTCTTGTGTAGTAAAAATAGAAACGGGAAAGGTGTTACAACTAATTTACTTTTTCAACAATTGAGGATTAATACATTACTATAGTTCGGCCGCTTAGAAAACGACCTGCACGCTAATGCTAAACCAATGCTTGAGGAGGTCGCTTTCTAAGCGGCCGAACTATAGTATACCTGTTGCTCGAATTCGAGCAATTGCTAAGTATTACAGGCGTTATTGAATAACAGTCATAATTTCTGACGACTTAAAAAGATTCGACTCAAAGATTGTGGACGAAAGAATGGAATGAATGGAAAGAAGGGATTATGGAATGGAATGGGATTATGGATGAAAGATTATGGACTCAAGATGTACATAACAGATCGATATAATCAAAATTTCTTGTAAATATCTTATCATTTTTTAAAAGCTGATCTTGTTTTTTAGTGTTTTCTATGAATAGCCTTACTTTTAGCCGCATTAGGTTGTCCATAATAACGATTATAAATTCTAAAAAAAACATTATTTCTATTTCTTCTCCTTGGCAGTGTTCTATGATTTCCCTATGTTTCCATAGTTTGCAAATCAGCTCTTTCAATGAATGATTACTAAGAAATGCAGCACAGTGTTAATTTAGTTTTCTTTTTAGTATATTAAATTATCCAGGCTCTCTCGCTTTTTCCCATTGTAATATTTGCACCAACCCAAATTCAAATAAATAAATAAGTAAATAATAAAATAAGTAAATATTTCATTTCTACCAAGTCAGTAAATGTTTGTAACAAACTGTTAAATTAGCAAACTTATTGAGTGTTTACAATATTAACATATGTTCTTCTTCTCACTTTTAATTTCTGACATCAGCTGGAGTTTCATATAACAGTGTTTGTTTCCCATGTTAATCTTATGGAGAAATACAAAACTTTAAATGGCCCCAGGGCCTCACTCTCTAATTACTTCCCTAAAAAGAAAGTTTCCTGCACAACTTCACGTTACGCTCTTTACAATGAGACCAAAAACATACAAATCGGTTCAGTAGTTTCAGAGGAGTAATTGTCACAAAAAACCTGCTTGCGTATTAAATAAGTAAATATAGATTAGTTTGAGATAGTTAGATTGTTAGGCAATGAACTATATTAAGGGATTTGAGGGCTTTTAGATAAATTTAGATGAATATTCTGCTTTCACTAAAATGATCAAAAAATTATTCACTTACAATTTCCACAAACATGTGAACTAGACATACACTTCAATAATGCATACTTTAAATAGGTAAATTACTGCAATTAGGAATTCCAATAACATGAGTTTGGATACTGCAAGTAGACATTCCAGTGACGTGAACCAGACGTACCATTGACTTTGGATACTGCGAGTAAACAATTTGTTTACGTGAACCCGACGTACCGGTATCATTAACTTTGAATACTGCAAAAAGACATTCTATTTAAGTGAATCAGAAGTAAGCCTACCATTGACTTTGGAAACTGAAAATGTGATATCTTATTTATGTGAACCAAATGGACCAACGACTTTGGATACCTCAAGTTAGATTTCTCATTTATAGCAAGTGTACCATTGATTTTAGGATACTGAAGGTAGACAATTCATTTACGTGAACCAAATTTTCTGTTAAGTGTTGATATTGCAAGTAAACAATTCGTTTACGTAAACAAGACGTACCATTCACTTAGGAACCTTGAACGTAATAGACATTCCTTTAAGTGAACAAGGCGTACCATTGGCATTGGATACTGCAAGTATAGATACTTTATATTTGAGAATCAGATGAACAAAGACTTTGAATCCCGCAAATAGACATTCCATTTATGTGAACCAAATATACAATTGACGTTGGATACTGCAAGTGTTTAATCTCATTTACGAGGAACAGATATGTAGCATTGACTTTAGAAAAGTATTGGCAGAAAGTAAATAAAGATACGTCTTATAACACTTAAAACATATATTTACGCTTATACTGTTACTCACAAGACGGTAAATATACAAAAGATGGTAAGTGGTGATCGATTTCGATTGGACACTCCAATCATCATCAGACCCAATAGGCGAATGTAGTCTTTCCGTAAATTTAAAAATACGTACAATGCTGATCAAGAAGTTATTAAAAGTATTGGATAAATATACTAGCTAGCTCTGCTCAATATTGCAAGCAGACAACTGCATTGTACACCTAGTTTATGTTAGGTGCTCAAGAATAATGATCAGACGTTATTAATATCTTCTATAGGCAAGCATGATTCTTTAAGACCTTTTTTCTCAGCTCATGAGCATCGTAGGGAAAATCTACGCAAACTGTTAGAAAGATATTTTTCTGTAGGTGTGCAGAATCCCTTTAAAATTAAACTAGGCTTAAAAATAAGCACAAAAAATGAATTCAAAATTTTAATATATTAACTTGGGTCTTGTGGGTTGCTATGCTAGTGACAAAATAACAATGAAATATAAACATAATAGCTATTTACATTACAAGTGTAGTAAGAGCGTTTTTACATCACGCAGGTGAAAGTTGTGCAACAAGCGGAAGCGAGTTGCATAATTCACCCAAGTGATGTAAACACACTCTTGCGTAACGTGTAACGTACAAGATTTTACCTGACCCGACAATATACATGGGGTTACGTACAATATTTTTCATTATCCATATTTCACTCATCTTCTAACAGTAACGTTCTTTTACAAACAAAAGCTAGGTTAGGAAAATACTTTAAAGCATAACAATAACATTCAATCGCACAGCTGATTTCTAGCTTGAACGTCGTTGGCTCCATAGAGGTATATATTTTAAGTTAAGCACTCAATGTTATTTAAATGGGTTTCATTACCTCACCGAGTGAGATTTTTCAACTTTACATCACTCGAGAATTAAAGAAGTTGTATACATCACGCTTGGGATAGGGAGGTTTAACATGGCGGGTTAGGTAAAATCTAAACAAATGGAAGAAATTCCAATCGCATGTTTTATTTACAGCTTGGGATTAAAATAGAGAAGCGTACCTTTGACTTAGGGTACTACCATAGATAAAACAGTCCATCTTGGTGATATTATAGACAAATAGAATAAATATAGACTGTAAAAGGAAGGTACTGACGTCCACCGCTAGGTTTGCCGCGTAGTTATGGCGCACACCGCTGCAGACGAGGAGCGCAGGAGCCGTATGCGCTACAGACACTACAGTGGTGTGCGCCGTAGCTACACGGCAAACCTAGCTGTGGACGCCAGACCTTATGCTAACCGCAGCACAGCTGACAGTCTATATTTATTCTATTTGTCTATGGTACTACTACAATAGTCATTCCATCCCCATGTTAATGTTGTCACCAGTTTTTAAATTAAATTTGTCGTAGTTGATGTGAGCCACCAACCAGATTGCGCTGATCTAAATTACTAATTTCTGTTGAATAAACAATGTTTTTTACCAAGTCAACCTTTGGAATGACTTATTATGTATGAGCTATAGCAACTGTTATGACCCATCCACTTTGTCAGCAACAAAAATAAGGTAGAAATTAGAATTTTAGACACACATTCTGTATGGCTCACATAATTACAATGTTTAGTAATTAAAAAAATGACGACAGCTGGTCCATATAGATAGGATGTCTACTTCAGTATACAATTTTCATTGTATATATTACATATATATATATATATATATATATTTCATATTGTATATTACATATATATATAAATATTGTATATATTTGTTGTGTATATTACAAATTTTTGGTCGAATTGTCGACCACTAGTTAGTTTAAGAACATGTTTTTCATATCCGAAAAGAATATTTGATTATATTGGAAGGTAGGACTGGGCGGGTCCCAAAATTTCTGGGAATCACTATTGTGATAATCAGGGATCTTGATATGTCGTCAGGCTTGATTAAGGAGTGACTTCAGTACAGTAAAGGAATGACTTTTGAAAAACATGTGAGAAAAATAAAAGGAGTCTTAAAAAAAATAGCAGAACATGCCAGAGCCAATAGAGGCATGACTGGGAAACACTTGATGACTGGATAACTTGACAACCCCCAAACTTAACAAACTCTGGGTCCACAAATAGTCGTGTTAGTGAGGTTTTACTGTACTGTATACCGTCTTTATCCCAATTTCTAAGACTAACAAAATACCTGTTGCACATATATTAGACAAAAAACATTGACTAAATTAACACTAGAACATCTAAAGCAAGCCCGTGGTTTGCACGAGATGTGCTATGGACCTGAAAATTAATTTTGTGCTCCTTCCCCTCAACACCTACCTTGTGGGGAGAATTTTTCTCTTGCTGCCCAGACCAGACCTCTTTTTATAAAAACGGCCATGATCCAAAGCAATGAATACAAACCCTATAAGAAGTGCAATGCCTTTGTTAAAATTCAGTCTGGGAATTTTTTAATTTCGGTTAGTTCCTGCGGTGGCTACTAGATAGGGAAGGTGCTACTATCGCGAGAGTACGGCCAAGTCAGCTGACTGAGTGAAAGAGAGTGAGGCAAAGAATTGGCTTAGAGAGAGAGATGAGTAGCTCCGCTGCTGCACCTGGTGCAGCGCAGGGTGGTGGATCCTGGTGGCAGCCGCGCGAAGCTCATTTTGGTGGCCATATTCCACTCTGACTTTTCTTCATAGCGTTTCGTCCTCCATAACTAAGCATTACGCACACTGATGCTGCAACTGCACACACATCTGTCTCAGATCTCTGATATTAAGTGACGGAAAGTTGACTGAGGAATAGCGGATTCAAAACTGAGACTGAGCCGTTACTGGGGGACTGTTGTGACGGAACTCTGTGACTGGACTGATGAGTGTGAATCAACCTTTATTATGAGCCATATCGCAACTGTTATAACTAATGAACTAGAATTTTATACACTACATTCTGTAACTGGCTCTCAGAACTATGGTCTTTTTTAATAAAACATTTGTGACAGCTGGTCGATATAGATGCGATGTCTACTTCAGTATCCAATAGTCCATCTGGGAAGTAATGGAATCGGTAGGCTATTTAAATAAGCTGTTTTATACAAAATAACATTTATTTGCCATAATACTGTCTCATAACACAAATGTGGCAAGTAAAGTTTTGACCCTGAAAACATAAGGTACAGATATCACAGACAAGTAGAGGCTAGTGAAGTGAGAGGCGAGGGTGATCCAACAGTCAGTGACTTGATAGATCAGTTATCCAATAGTTTGGTGATCCCAATGGTCCATGAACTGATAAATACTAGTGATCAGACAGTCCAGTGATTGAGTTGTGTAAAGACCTGATAAATACTAGTGATCCACCAGTTCAGTAATCTGATGGTCTACTGATCCAAAAAGTTCACTGACCCGCCAGTCCATTAAAACAGTGGTACGGTGATCTGACAATCTCATTTAAGTGATCTGGTGATTCAGTGATCAAACAGTTCAGGGATACTGTGGTCCAAAGCTCTAACAAACCAGTAATCCGACCAGTCATATGATGATTCAGTGAACCGGCGGTTCAGTGAGATCAGTCCCGAGTAAAGCTAAGGACCAGAATAGTCCAAAGGCGGAAACTAGGTGTTGGTCTGTTGCGTCTGAAGCAGCTTCCATTGCTCCAGGTTGGCTTGACATTGAGCCAACAGTGGCTTTGTCTCGGGAATCAGCTGACTCAGTAGAACGTAGCATGGAATGCAGATTGACATGAGGAAGCCCACCTGTGAAGCAGATCACAGATGGGTTACTGTTTGCTTCAACCTTGTTCTTATGAAGTAAAAAAATCTACCAAATTCAAATTCAAATAGTTTATTGCCATTAAGTATATATGTGAACTTTTTATGAATGTATACAGATAGATAGTTTTATTTTCTGTATTTTTTGTTTAGGTTAAGTATTTGTACATAGTAATTATAAGCTTGACACTATTTATTGTACGTTTTGTACATAATATAAATAAAGATAATTTGAATTTGAATTTGAATGTCATACAATAGGCCAGGTCAATGGAGATAATATACAATTCAAAGTACAATAAGTGATGTCAGATTATACAATGATGTAGATGTCATTGTAGTGCACACAGAAACTGCCATTGTAACATTGTCTGATAATTATTATTTGTTCTGATAATCAAAACATATTTAAGACCCATTTTTACCCACTCGTAATTTCAATACGTAAATATAATTCAAATGAAGAACTTGGATCTTTAGAAGAATTTGAAATAAAACTTCATAACAGTAGGTTAGGTACAGAGCACAGCATCAATAAGATTTTGAGGTGATACCTCAATTTATAAATTTAACTAATTTGGAATGCATTTATAACCAGGAGAAAGATTGAAAGATCAGGTCTATCAACAACACGAGGCATCTATCAGGCTACAATGTCATGTTATTTATTTTATTAAATATTCAAACAATACACATAATATGTTGGAAGATACTAATTTTTAAATACAGTACTTATAGTAAATGTTTTGTGAATGCATTTCGTACCTGAGAGACGGCTTGTAATTCTGGTTGATTCCGATCCATCATGGGTACAGGGGTGATGCCTGCCTGTCTCTCTGCATCTCCCTGAAATGTTAGGGTTTTAGAAAAGATCCAGCCAATGTAAGAATACTATATCCAACAAGTATATATTTTCTCAGATTCTAACATTGACATCAGACATATGGCAGGCTGTGTTATTTGTCAGGTATATTCTTCTCAACATAAATGGAAAGCTGCTTTAAGTTTGGAATTCCCGTCTCCAATGGCATTGAAAACACCAGTTACCAGGAGTAAACATTTATATGGATGAAAAAATAAAATCAGTAGAAAAGTTATCAAAAATAAACAGCATCAGCAAACCAAAATATACTTTCTCGTATTACCTATCTCGCCTAAGTTATGATATTTTAAGGGTAAAATCATAAAGGTTCTATAAAGTTGCATTAATTTTGAATTGTAATTGTTGCAGCATTGTGGCATGAACCATTTTGTTTTTTGTTTAAAGTTAAAATGACCATACCATACTAAAGCTCAATCAGATTTGTTTGAGCAATCTTTTGTGAAAATCCAATTTATTTAATTATTTTATGGGTTTTCATGGGAAAATCACGCTATAAAACAAAATGTTAAAACTGAAACAGGTCCACGGCGTAGGAAGTGGTGAAAGAAGTAGTAAAGGCAAACAGTCCGGAGTGTGGGATCTGTTTATGACCATTAGATTAAAGGTATTTGCGATCCTAAAATGCTATGGGGAGGTAAGGAGACAGGTCCGCGTCGTAGGAAGTGGTGAAAGAAGTAGTAAAGGCAAACAGTTCGGAGTGTGGGATCTGTTTATGACCATTAGATTAAGGTATTTGCGATCCTAAAATGCTATGGGGAGGGAGGGAAACAGGTCCGTGACGTAGGAAGAAGTAGAGGACGTAGTAAAGGCGAGCAGTCCGGAGTGTGGGAACTGTTTATGAGGATTAGAATAAGGTATATGCAATCTTAAAATGCAATGGGAAGGGAGGAAAATAGGTCCGCGACTTAGGAAGTGGTGAAGGAAGTAGTAAAGGCAAACAGTCCGGGGTATGGGAACTGTTGATGACGATTAGATTAAGGTATCTGCAATCTTAAAATGCTATGGGAAGGAAGGGAAACAGGTCCCCGACGTAGGAAGAGGTGAAGGAAGTAGTAAAGGCGAGCAGTGTGGAGTGTGGGAACTGGAAACCGTTTGTAACAGTTAGATTTGTATGTCTGAAATTGAAATACTGAAATGCTATGAGAGGGGATGGAAACATGTCCACGACATAGGAAATGGTGAAAGAAGTAGAAAATGCTAGCAGTGTGGAGTGTGGGAAATGTTTGTGGCAATTAGATTAATGTATTAAAATACTAAAATGCTATGGAAAGAGATGAAAACAGGTCCACAACGTAGGAAGTGTCGAAGGAAGTAGTAAAGTTTAGCATCGCAGAGTGTGGGAACCGTTTGTGGCAGTTATATTAATGCATCTGTAATACTTAAATGCTATGAAGGGAAGGAAACAGGTCCATGACGGAGGAAATGGTGAAGGAAGTAGTAAAGGCTGGCATCGCAGAGTGGGGGAATGATTTTCCGCGAGCAAAACTCGGTCCTCAGGTACTTTCTATTTATAAAGGGATTCTGCACAGCTGCAGGAAAATATATTTCTAACAGTATGCATAGAAAGTGACCTGCGCGCTAATGCTAACCATAATGCTGGAGGAGGTCACTTTCTAAGCGGCCGTACTATATTAAACTTACTACTAGTACCTGGGTATCTAGATTGAGGCAACAATAACTAATGAATGAATAAGATGACAGTATTGTGACTGACCAAAATGTGGTTCTTCAGCCATCATTCAGGACTATTAATCAAAATCTGTGATAACTGTATGTCCAGCACAAATTAGTCCAGTTTGAAACAATGAAAATGATCCTGAATATTCTAAGGTCGAACCTACCTTGTACATTTATTTACCTGCTCATAAAACTCCTCAAAGATGACACGCGCTGTTTGGAACTGGATGTCCCAAGGCTTGGCACTAGCAGACAGATCACTAGCCGTCATAGCAATAGCCTGCAGAATCAGCCTGAAAATAGAACAACCCAGATGTCAGTAAACGTTGATCCTCTAGGAATTTTGCTATCACAAAAGTCTCTGAGAGACATATTCTTGTGTATTTTACAAATGGGCCCATAGCTTAAGGTATTTATTTATTTATATTTGTTTGTCCTAGGATCCTAGGCACGAGCCTGGGATTGTTTTCCCCATTACTTCAGGCTAGACCTAGGGGTTGCGGCATTATCACTTTGATAAAATCCATTTGGTGATTTAGCAGGATTTGAACCCAGGACCTCAGGGACGAAAGTCCCCGCGCTCTAACCACTAGACCAGCTTTCTCCCCCACAGCTTAAGGTATGGCCTGAACCTTAATTATAACAGTAAACAGAATACGGGTAGTATTCCTGTAGATGTAGTAAGTTTAGGCTATGCTATAAGATATTTGATTTGATATATTCTAGTTTAATAAAATAAACTATAACAATAAAATGTTGGCCTCTTTGCAACAATGAAAACGGTTTTGACCAAATATATCTAGACAAATATGTTCTGTTATACAAACTAGAGATTTTAATATTTCTTTAACTTTACCTCATAAATTCAGGGTAGGGGAATAAAGTCACTGAGTGAAAATTTAAAAACGTACGTTTTCAGGAAAAGCACTTTGCAAATTTTTTCCCCCTTTTTTAAAACTTTTATTATTTTTTTTATTTCATTAACATTTGAAGTTTCAAAAAATGTCCATGGTAACGCAATATCTTTGGTAATTTTCTTTTTAAAGAGCATCTTTCGTAGAAAAACACAAAATCCTGTCACAACCATAACGGACGTTTAAATGAATATTAAAAATAGTTGATATTATTTTTATAACTATGTTTTGCTATAAACTAATTTACTTTTATGACCATTATACAATAAAAAGGTCATTGAGCTTTTGGTATATTTGGTCTTTCTAGAAAAAAATAAAAAAAAACTCAAAAAATAGAAAAAAACCAATAAAATCTTTTTAAGTTTGTATAACTCCGAAAAAAACTTACCTGAGACTCGAAAAATCGTTATGTTTGTATAGAGGTGTGCTTCTTTTGTGTATAAAACATTGAAATATGACGATATTTTAATTTTTGAAATTTTTATGATAGAAATCATAAACGTGATGGTCAGGGACAAGCGGTACGGTCGTGAATTCTCTGGAATAATCAAAATCTTTCTAAACAATCCTTCAATTAGACTGTTAGTTATAATAAAACTATGTGTTTCAATTGAACTAAACTGTTCAATTTACAATTATATTAAAGTTATTGTCACGACCAAACACACTATAATCCATAAGGCTGGATTGGTCGTGAAAAAAACCGCGATGGTCGTGAAACTTTGGTCGTGAAATTACGTGTTATTTGGCTCTGTTCTGGCGGTAGCCCTGCACCTCATGTTCGAGGATACAAAGTGGACTTCTAGGTTAATCTAGCAATTGAAATGTCTTATAAACAAAAATTAACACCATGTCTACTTCATTGAATGACTACGTACGGTCATGGACACACCAAAATTACAAAAAACACAATCTTTCCTTTATTAATCTTGTAATTCCTCCTTTCAACTCAAAACAACCGGCACTACAATCCTGACGTACACCCCGAACTAGTCTCTAAAACCAACTGACTCCATCGACGCCAGGCTTGCCACTGTCGTGCTCCAAAGTTGAAAATTTTTCCCAAATGGTCGTGACGCCAAATCGAGGGACAAACTTATTTTGTCATGGTAGTCAGTCTGCAATGACAATAAAATTATAATATGCTCCTTTTTTGTAAGTTTAATAACCATTGATGACATAAAAATATGGCTTTATATATTTCGGCATGAATAATTAGTCTAAAAACAGCGTGAAATTTGGAAAATGTACCCTAGGGACACGTCATGGTCGTGAATTTCGAGACTTTAAAAATACGAAAAAAATACCTAGAACCTATTTAAAACCAAATAAATGTGTGTAACATGTTGCCCCCGTCCCAAAAAATATTAAAACACATAATAATAAACTATAAATCCAGTATCTACGAAGTAAAAGGCCAGGGACATGAAAACGTACGTTTTTAAATTTTCACTCCACTAACAAGACTACAAGATCGCGCCACTCATCCTACACTCATCTCCATTCATACTTGGCTTAAAATACCTACTTTGTATGGTCGCCATTTCAAAGAAAAGTGTGAAGTGTAAAAGGTATTAGCCATGGTGGGGGATTAGTAATATTATATACTTAATATTTAATACTTATTTAATACTTTTCTAGAAATGGCGACCATACGAAGTAGGTATTTTAAGCCAAGTATGATGAGTGGCGCAATCTTGTAGTCTTGTTAGTGACTAAGGCCGACATATTCCTTAGACACAGCTGTTAATTAATAGCCCGTACAGCTAATGGCGACTAAGGGACCTACAGTTTATTGTGGAATCCGAACCACTTTTTTTTCCTTGGTATATACGAATTGGTCTAATTATCAGGATAGCACTGCGGATAGTCGTAGTACTCACCCGTGCGGACCTTAATCCACACCAGGGAGTATTGCATCCACAGTGCATGCCTATAAATATCCACAATTCGTGGCCTCCTAGTAGCTGGATTACAGGACGACGCCACCCGTCCCAGTCATTAATATAATAGTAATTAAGTGACAACAAAGCACTATCCCTAGGTTTTGTTTTGCCATCATCCCTTTACTTTTTTGTATCCGTAACTAGTCGTCTCAGTAGACCTACTGTGCACGGTGATCTAAGGCAGTGAAGTGTTGTTTTGGTGTAAGCAACAAGGCTGGGGTGGTCAGATAGTGCAGAGGGTGGTCTCAAAGCAGCAATGTGGTTATTAGCCTGAATACCACCAAGCTACCAAGTTCAATGAACATTTCAGATTATAAAGTTAATACAAGTTACCCAAACAAAAGAAAATATTATCTCTGAACAACCTTATTTATGTTATGCTTGAAAATAATACAGTAATTATGTGTGAATAGCTATGAGCGCAAAGCAAGGGCGGTCCCAGGGGGGGGGCAGGGGGGTCATGACCCCCCCAAAATATTTTTTATATACATAAACTATTATACCAGGGAAACATTAATAATTTTTATTGCAAATCGTTTTACCAAATTTAAATTCGTTGTAGTCTTTACACTTGTAGCGAACGAAAGGACTAATTACAAAGTCTAACCTAAAACTTGGGATTGTTCAAGTCTGACTATGCTTTTGTACGTTATGAAAAGTAGGGAAGATCGGCAGACAACGGACGCTTTCAGCCATAAGTCTTCTTCAATCATCTGGGTTAAAATGAATTATAACATTAAATGCCGAAAAATGAAATAAGAAGAAGAATGCAGCCGAACGTCGAACGCCAGCATCGAACACTGCCGTTGCCATATGGGTATTGGATAAAGAAGTTGTGTCAATAGTCAAAGTTTGAAAGTTAGTTGAATATTAATTTATCTGAGTTCAGCGTTAGGAATTTGTAATTACAGTAATGTAATTCAATAATTACCGTAGCAAATTTCAAAACTTACAATATTAAACAGTATTCATATTTAGAGCACCTGATATCATATTTAAGAACACAACCCAATACAATAGGCATGTTGCTAGCCACAAAACAACAACAAAATGGTAGTGTCTCAGACTTAGATGCGGAAGGGACGGATTTAATTCCCGACACAACCACAAAAACGTTGCACAAAAACTTTATTCTCACGTTGACCCCTTGTAAAATGCCACTGGCACTGGCGTATAAAAAAATGAGAATACTGAGAACCAATTCTTAATTCTTCAGGCGGTAGCAGTGACGGGACGCCCAACGTTAGTTGGGTACCGTAGTGTACTTTATAGGTTAACTGTTTCTTACTGGGCAGGTATAATGCAGTCGTGTTTGGTGCAAGTTCTTATACACATCTTAAATAAAATAAGTTCTCTTTTTTGAAATCTTGGTCTGATTTTGGACATTTTCTGTTTAGCATGAACATCGGCACCAGTTGGAAGGGTGTTTTCGTAAATCAATATAATGCTTGAATGTGTTGTAATGTTGCGGTATTCCTTTGATATTAAAACCACAAGTCTCAATAATGCAAAAACATGACATTATACAAGTTTATTTTAAGACATTTCTTTGACCTTAAAATAAACTGGGAAGCTTGAACACATTAAACTAGGTCCTCAAAACAGCTTAAAAACCACTCATTTTAGCACGTTATTTCCAAATTTTTCCCGGACCCCCCTCCTTTACTGGGGGGTATTCCATACCCCCCAGTCCCCCCGGTGACCCCCCCCCAAAATATAGGTCTAGGACCGCCCTTGGCACAAAGTAAATGACCTTAAATGACCTTGTGACCCACGTAGGTAACCATTGCCTTCTATTTGCTGATGACCTGAAGATATACCGTACCATTAGAAGCCACGAAGACTGCCTTCTCCTCCAACGTAGTCTCGATGCCGTCCAGAACTGGTGTCTCTCAAACCACATGGATCTAAACATTAAAAAGTGTGTAGCCATATCGTTTAGTAAGAAGAAGTCTCAGTCTCAGTTCGTATATAGCCTGGGTCAATCTAATCTTGCAAGGGTTAATGAAGTGAGGGATTTAGGTGTGACCTTAACCTCCTCCCTGTCATGGGAACGTCACATTACCTCTAGTTGCAGAAAAGCCCTTCAAGCCCTGGGTTTTGTTCTTCGAAGCTCCAAATATTTCCAAGACGTTACTCTACTCAAAACCCTGTTCCTGGCCTTCGTATTGCCACACCTAGAGTTTGGCTGTTGTGTTTGGTCACCTCACCAGGACTATCTCAAGACCGAACTTCAAATGGTTGTTAATCACTTCTTGAGAGTGGTCGGTGTGAGGTTGGGCTACAACTACAGAGAGGTACCCATCCAAGAAATCTCCAAGGCCCTTCAAATCCTTCCATTGGAGTCCAGACGTGAGATCCAGGACATCTTGCTCATTTACAAACTGGTCAATGGCTTCATCGACTGTCCCGGACTTCTCAAACTTCTGAACTTCAGGGCAGGTAGATCTTCAAGATCCAAGGATCTCTTCTCTCGTGAGCATCTCAGCACCAACTACCATCTCTTCAGCCCACTGCCTAGAGCCCAACGTCTCGTAAATGCTCTACCGGATGATATTGACCTCTTTAATATGTCGCTGGCTACCTTCAAGAAATGTGTGGTGATTTCGAAGTGGTGAAGTGAAGATCTTTCTGTGTTTTGTGCCTGTGCCTCTCTGTTTATGCAAATTCTTCTACTGCCCTTTCTGGTTTTGTTTAATTGTATGGCAGTATTCTTCTCACATTTTCTGATGTGTTTGGGTTGTTCTTTGCTTGGTTTGTTCATGCATTATTATTGTTCTGTTTTTGCACTCAAATGTTATATCACATAATTTTCTCAAATTAGTAAATCATTATTGTGAATTTCGCCTGTTTGTCAACTTGTATTTATTGTTGCTATTTATTGTTGTTTTTGTTTTTATTGTTGTATTTATTGTTATCTCGTAGCTTGTTACTGTTCTGAATTGTTAACATTTGCTTCTTGTTAGTTCCCAAATTGTATCTCAATCTAATCATCTATGTATTGGCGTCAGCCGTTGAAACGATAAATAAATAAATAAATAAATAAATAAAGTACCTACTTCATTGGTGCTCGAGAACTGTAGATGGCCGCATTAAGCTTGAAACTGAGTGTGGTCATACATTTTGAGAGCGGCAATTACTCTTTGTGCTCGTAATACATACAAGATTATTCCTACCACAATAACTAATTTGTCATAACACACAAATTAACTTTTAAGTTGTATATAAAACGTCATTTAGGTTATTTTTCCTTATTTAGATTATGCTATTAGCATGCCGGATGTTAATGTTTAAAAAAAAACCAATAGTAAAATCAGCTGATTTAGAGATCAGAAATGGCCATCTCCACTCTCAAACGCAAGTGAGAATGAATAAAGGGGGAATGAGCTATTTTGTGTACTGTTCCATGCAGTGGTAGTAAAACTAATTACCGATGTGCTAACCATTTCCAAATAAACTTTCAAACACTTTTCCACTTGGACTATGCGTGTTCAAGAGACCATATCCAAGGTTTTTCAAACTATTATGTTACAATTTGAAAAGCAATTGTCTCCTTCTCTCACACAGCCTACCTGTGGTCAGGGTTGGCAGGGGAGAATGTCTGACTGGCCACCAGATGCTGCAGTCTTGTCTTGTAGGGGAAGAAGCGAGCCAAATCAGTGGCCAGAATACAGTGCTTGATCTGTCCCAGTACCTGCTTGTACTCACTACTTGTCAGCTGACTGAATATGTTGTGCCCTGGCTACAGTCAAACATTTACCGTGTTAAAAATACTCCTGCCACACTAAATCACAGACTAAGCAAATTTCAAATTGTCTGAAAGGGTATTAACTAAAATATCCATAACCAATTCATATTTGTTCCCCATTTAAATAATAGATTCAACAAGTACTTAGGTTTGCTGTAACAAGGAAGGGAAAGTGTATAACTTGATCATTAAGACTATTACAGTACCTAGTGTGAAATCTAGCTTTAGTTATTTACCTGCTAAAGCCTTAAAGTTCTCAAAGTAATTAACTTATAGCTGACCTGAGTTGTAACATTCAAAAGTTGACTTTGTGACAAAAAAAATCACGTGTATTTCAATTTGTTACAATAGATGATAGTGTTGAGGTCTGAATATCACAATAGTTCACCTGCTGCAGTATAGTGACAGTCTGGTTGAAGTGGTGGTGTTCCATGGTGGAGGTGCTGTACACTGCAGCTAGCGGAGACTCTGTATCAGACATAAACTTGTTGTTCTTCCCACGATGATCCAGGTCGTGACAGAGAGCGGCAATATACAGCGAAACACTCTGTGACAAAGAGTGGCAAAATATAGACACTTAAAATTTGGGATTAATAATGAGGAAACATATAGAAAAAGGTAGTGAAAAACCATTATTGTTGTAAGAGGTTTTAGGTTTTTTGGGGGCGCCAGTTGAAAAATTCCCTGGCAAAGAAAGTAAGGAGGAGGCACAGATATCTCTCGGGCTCATAATGCCTCTCTGGTCAGTGAATGTGGAAGTTCACTACTAGACAGACTATGTAGAGAACTAGACGTTTCATTCCTATGGTAAAGGGTAGCCAGTTTTTGGATAAAATAAAAATGGTTGAATTGAGTCACCGACAGATTAAGCTGAACCAAATTACTGATTTTGGAAGCGGCCAACTGTTTAACCACTTCAAACTGAGAGACTTATTATAAAATATGGAATCTTTTATATCAAATAAACTATAACAGGACACAAAAATAAAAACTTAGGGAAGAAATAGAATTTCTGACTGCAGTGCACTCCCCGGTGGCTCATTCAACAAATGTTCTTAAGGACCTTTTTGAGATCTGACATACAAAGTATAAAAGTTAATTAATTAACACATGTATTACTTCCTTAGAATCAATATTTTCTTTCTTAAACATAGTTTTTAATTCAACCAATTCCATGCAATTCAGTTGGACCAATTTGTTCACACCTCAATGAAGTTGAAGGTTCCTGGAGGAGAGTGTTTTATGATGGCGTACATAGAGTTTGCCACTGAGAACCCATGTGACCAGTTGTGATAAGGTACTCTGCGATAGTTTTTCTTCACCGTCAGTGTGAATTTGATCAAGTTATCCTTGTCAAATCTGGAGAGGCCGAAAAGGTCGATGAACATGTATATTGAATTCCTCACTTTTTCGTTGTCATCCAGCTCATATACGTTGAAATAGTACCTGAAAAAGAATTTGAAAAATATATGGGGTTAGGTGATGAATGGAGGTTAAGTAACACAACTACAGGTAGTCCTTATAGGTGGTTATGGTTTGCGTGATTTCATTTTCACCCGGATCACAAAAGTTATAATTTTTTATGTTTTGTTAGTTCTGTATCTTTGCCCAACACTTTGCTGGAGCGCAACTACTGTGAATAGCTTGAAAAACAAACCTGTAATATATTTTAAAGGGATATATTATTTTTAAATTAGCGTGAGAAATAACTTTTTTCTTTGAAAATATTGATTTACACATTCTTCTCATGGTCTATTCAGGATGCAATTAATTAAATTTTAAATCGTACAACAACAATTTTTCTACTGTACTACTTTCATATAAAGAAGCAGGAGTAAAATATCAATTTAAATGTGCTGTGAATTTTTTGAGTACTTTCAACTGCCTGGAGCTCTTTTCTTGGATGATAGTTGTGTCTCAATCACTTCTTCATAATATAAATCTTACGACAGTGACTGATCCACTTTGTATGGCTGAGTAGCTGAGTGGTTATTGTACTTGTCTGATAGACGGATACTGGTTCGATCCTCATCCTCAGTAAAGGCAACTTTGGTACTTTTTTTTGTTTTAAACTGCATTCAGCTTTCATTGATCATTGTGGTTTTAGTATATGATTCTGATGCAAGGACCAGCAATGATTTTGGCAACACTGACCTTCCACTCATCTTCACTTCATTACAGTGGTATACGTGTCTAAAAAAGAATGCCGGGATTTTAAATGGTAATTTCTTGGGTACTATTCAAGGTAACCACACGTTTTATACGTCAAATTGAAGCTAAAATAAGTTTTATTTCCCGTGTAGCAAGGGAGGAAACTTTGACCTTGGCATGCGCAAAATAGGTGCACGTTGGTAGGCTTCTATTGTGATTCACATGCCTGACGCCAGTCACCAGTACGATGTTTACAGCGCAACAGAAGGCACCGAGTGTCATGTGGTTCGCAGAGTTAATATTGATTGCTAAATTAAACTAAATTTAAATTTTGATTATTAAGAAATTTGATGCTAGTTTAATGAGTTTCGTGGCATCGTAGAGTTTTTAAAAGACTTTTACCCATCGATATATCAAGAGTGATAACATAGTCGAAGAAACCTCTGCACCTCTGCATCAGAAGCCCGAAAACATTGATTGCCCGACGAAGTCTTCTGTTAAACATACCTAAATCGACATTTCATGATGTAATCTGTAAAAGGTAAAGTTATTGTGCCTAAAAAGATTCAGTTAAAACATCAGATAAACCCACCGATCGCCCTAAGCGTACAGACTTTGCTTATTTTATGCTCATATGGAATTGATGAAAATAAATCTGAATTTTATTAAATTATTCCGATTTTGATCAACGTATGAGAAAAAACTTTTGTTCTTTTCCCTTCAATTTGACTTTTAAATAATTTAATCATCTTGAATAGTCCCTGAGCGACAGCCGTTTGTAATCCCGGCATTCTTTTATAATCACCCTGTAGGCCTATATACCCTGTTTAGAACTAGAATAATTAAGTCTAATCAAACTCACTCATCAATTCCAGGAACACAAGTAGGTATGTCATTCTGTTTCATCTCCGCAAACTCAAGGTCATTGCAGCTGTTGTGATAACAGAGAACCTCGAGCGCCACTCGATACTTCTGTTCCGAGCGGCGGATCTTCTCATACAACTTGGCATGGTGCAGAGCAAGGCCGCAGTAAACCGCGAACGTCTCAAAAGCTTCTTCGTCTTCCTGAAGCAAAAAACCATGGGTTCACTTAATGTCAAAAGTAGGTTCACAAACAAACATACATTGGATTTTATATATATAGATTTTTGTTGTACCGTGAGCGCTTCTCTAAATGGAAGCGACTGCATAAACCTTTGTAGTTAATAAAATTATTACAATAATATCAATTATCAATTATCAATTATTTAAGATGGGGACGCCACTATGTGCGTATTTTAACCCAAATATGAGTGAAGGATGAGTGTAGGATGAGTGGCGCGATCTTCAGGGCCGCGTTAAGGGTCAGTGGCGCCCTGGGCAAACCCAAAAGCAGCACTAATACACTTCACTTTCTTTAAACTGCTTCATGACTTTGTTTCCTTTGAGCCAACCGCTTGCGGTTCTCGGCTCCACTTCCACTAGGGTTTTTACACATTTTTTTCACTGTTTATGGGCCTACTTGTATAAACACTTCTCTATTTATTTATTATGTACTGGTTCACTAACTGCAGTGTGAGTGTCAACACTGACTAGTGACTGTCACAGGTTAGGTTGTGTTGATTTGACGTCTCTGCAGAAGGCACAAGCACAAAAGCACAACCTACTGGTGAGTGGAGTGGCGCCGCGCGGTTAGTTGTAGGGGTGGGTGTCGCGATAGTTGGTGGGAGGGAGGGTAGTAGGGGTACGTCACCAGCTGTAGTCTACAGGCCTACCGCCCTACCTTTGATAGTGAATAGTGAGTGTGTCCGGTTCATACTGCTGCCTGCCTTTCCCGGACTACACAAGGCATAATCTGAAGAAGTATTTCCAATTTTGTTGTTTTTATTTATTTTTACAATAAGGGAAAATCACTTAACTACAAGTTAAAATCACCCATTTTATTTTTAAAATCCTGGTTGATCAAAACTTAATTTTTCCTAGTGCGGGTGGTGGTTGGGGGCGCCCCCCAACCATCGGCGCCCCTGGGCATATGCCCAGTCTGCCCGTTTATAAAAGTGGGCCTGGCGATCTTGTAGTCTTGTTAGTGACTAAGGCTGACATGTTCCTTAGACACAGCTGTTAATTAATAGCCCATACAGCTAATGGCAACTAAGGGACCTACAGTTTATTGTGGAATCCGAACCACATTTTTTTCCTCGTAATTAACGAATTGGTCTAATTATTCGGATAGTACTGCGGATAGTCGTAGTACTCACTAGTGCGGACGTTAATCCACACCAGGGAGCATCGCATCCACAGTGCATCGCTATAAATATCCACAATTTGTAATAACTGTCTAATAGCATTAAAATAAAAATGTGCTGGACAAAGAAGTTTGACCTATAATGGAGTTTTCATTATTCAGCAAAAGATTTGATTAATATTGTTTCATTAGATTTAGGAGGCTGTTATTTGTTTTATTCATAACTTATCAAATAACCATAGTTTTTTTTTAATACCTGTTTGTTAACACAAGTATATGCAAAACCAAAACCTATTTAGAATTTAGTTTAAAATCTCTCCATTTAAATTTCAAATGATCAAATGGTTTTCGTAGAGTTTTTCCTTATGCACTTATGTTCCTCTATAGTAAAAGGAACATAACATTTTTTAAATAGCTGGTTGTACCTTAAATAGAGGTGGGCTTTTAACCAACCCCACGGTTTCATGTGATGCGCCTAAGGGCCTGAGAGATCATTGCGCTCCTCTCCACCTACCTTGTGGGGGGAATCTTCTCTTCCTTGTGCTTCCAACTAACCTAAAACTTGCACCCTTGGATCCGGCATCATTTAACAAATAAAAGTTCCATAATCTAATGACCGCCTTAGTATTACTGGGGAATACAATCTATTCCAATTAAAGGAAGTCTCTTTAACTATAATAACAGCCATACTCATAGTTTTAACTTCGTTTTGCAAGAATTGTCTAAATGAAAATTTAATCTTACAGTAACCTGAAACTCTACTTACTGTACTAAACTCATAGAAACAAACCTTGTTGAAGAATCCTGCGTTCTTGTTGACCATCTGCATCACACCGATGACGACTCCTCGTATGAAGATCGGCATGCAGAGAATGGTCTTTGTGTGGTAACCTGTCATGTGATCGACCGAACTGTTGAAACGAGGGTCCGAGTAAGCGTCTGCAATGTTGAGAACCTCACCAGTCCTCGCCACTTGGCCTGCAATACCCTTCCCGACACTGAATCTGTTTAGGAGTGAAAAAGAATTATATGATTCTTGTGTATTTGATTTAATAAAAAAGAGCGGTACAAAAGAAGCAATGATGTTAATATTCTCCATTATGCCACCATTAATTGGTAGCTGAGTATAGTTACAGTATTTTCCTAGTGATCAAAAGATCTCCAGTGTGATCCTTAGAACAGTAGGGAGCTTCTTGATAGTTTGAAGATGGCTTAAACTAGTGTGTTGTCCTCAATTTGACTTTACATTAACATTTCAATTAATGACTTGTCATTTCCCAAGTTTGACCTGGTAAAAAAGTTTGTGTAGTTGACAGAAGTTAGTAATTTAGATCAGTGCAATCTGTCAGTGGCTCACATCAACTACGAACTACGACGATTTTGATAAAAAATCTGGCTATAAATTTATCATGGAGATGTCTAGTTGTATTAATAGTCAAAGGTAAACTAAAAAAAGTCATATACATAGGTATAGTCTGATTTTTACTGGAGTGCGGCTGGTGCTCAGCCCTACCTGTGAGGGACCCGACTCACGTACGCACACTCACCCCACTCACCACCGTCCTAATTGCCTGAAATCCCGGATCCCCTATATTCACTAAGTAGAAATAAAACATCTGTTGTATGATACCTCAAAATTGCAATTCATTTGATGTTAGATATACAGTAAAATGCTTAGTGTTAATAAATTTGTTGTTTAATTCAATGAAAAATGAGTCCAAACACAAAATTATTATGACAAGTAGCTAGCTAATAAAACGTGTTAAAATATTCATAGCTTTTACACTTTGTAAGCAAAATATATATTGTTTGGTATCATTTTACTAAGCATTTTGAGCTGAAGTCAAAAACGTTACCAGATTTTATGACAAACGTAAAATTTAAAAAATTAAAGTTTAATTTCCGTGAGCCAGCGATGACTCGCTTGGCAGGTCAATGGTCCGTCCCTCGTCCGTCCTAATCCCTTGCGTCTGTGTGTGTGAGGACTGCGTGTGTGTGAGTAGGGTCGACCCTTCAGCCAGCCGCTTTCCGTCAACAATCACACTATAGTTTTGGGGCTATCAGAATACTCTTAAATTTAGCTGGGATATTCTTTGTTAAAGAAACAGCTGATCTTATAGTCAGTAACAAAGCTTTAAAATTAATCATCTCACTCCGTTCTGCACTCACCTTGCATCCACATTCAGCTTAAAATAAATACACTAGTGTTTCGTCTCCAACTCAAAGTAACATTGAAGCAACATTGATGTGTAGGATTGAGTAACTAAATCTTTAATATTAATTTAATGTATAAAAAATCTCTGGTTCTCTACTCATAGGTATCTTGGATGTATGTTTTGAAACAATGGTCACAAAGGCGGTAATCGATCAAAACATTTTTGAAAAGAAAAAATAAACTATGATTTTTTTATGATGACACCCAGAACAGAGCAATCTGGAAGATTCTTGTTGTCTTAATTGTTTACACTGCTGATTCTCTTGTGAAGAGGCAAAGTAAAAAAAAGTACCGGTAAGATTAAGTAAAAGTGGGATAAATAAATAAAATTATATATATGATATTCACTTCCAACCTCTGACAGATATCTAATGAAGTACGATACTAAATATGATTCACAATAAAAAAATTATGATTTGTTCTACTGAAGTTACGACTAGGAACAATGGGAATATATCCTGAAAGTTTCCAAGAAATTTTTCTTTGACACAATACATTTTGAAACCTTTATTGCAAACTTACCTGATTTCCCTGTCTGGATGAGCCCTACTCCCAGAATCACTGTCGTTTTCAGATTCATTTCCTCTGACATCAAATATTCGTGCGTAAAGTTCTTTGTTTTTAGAGTCAAGAAGAAAGAGAGAAGCTCTGTCCGCATCGACCAGGCGTTGTGCAAAATTCATGATTTTGGTAACCAGTGTATCCATGCTCATCATGTCTTGAAATATAGATCTGGGACACACAAACTGTGTTAATTAATTACAGTAATCAAACCACAGTATATTTCATTAATCTAGGAATAAAATATGTTTTGCATAAATACTAGTCTTATTACAATTCACTGTAAATACACAACATTTCATTCATTCATACGTTATGTTTGAAGTTTTAGCCAGAATGTTTTTAAACATTTTAAACAAAACTCTTATAGATTCCTAATGAAACTGTATCTTAATATATTATTGCTTAAAGGCAAAACATTTCTTTGATCTTGTCAATAGGACATTGTTTTACTACTGGAAAATTTTAAATACCAACAGGAATTTCTACTAGATTCAACAAAACTTAAAAAAATGTCTAAGTTTTCTCACTTGACAACGGCCAACAGAAAGTCGCTGAGTTTGCGTTGTTTGCTCATGGACAGGTAGAGGCGGGCGTAGTGCAGTGCTATGCCGCCCCACACCAGATAGCTCGAAGCAATCTCCTCATCCTCCTCGTGGAAGGGAGGACTGGAGTCTCTCCTCCACAGCTCCAGGACGGCCACCAGCTCACCATCAGGCTGTACCACCGGCTCATACAGCAGGTGCTCCACCTCCGGGTAGCCCTGGACAGACAGCTGTTACAGTTACACAGACTGTTGGGTGCTGGAGGTAAAAAAATCTTAACTGTTTGTCACCATAAAGTCGGGTTTTCCTAGGCGCGGAAGTGGAGAGCAGAGAGAGGAATGCGGAGAGCGGACTCCACTTGTCTTAGGTAATTTAACGTTACTGTTTTCCTAGAAGCGGAGCGTAAAACCATGTCAATCTCTTTTCCGCTGGCTTAAAACTAGGAGGACGCTAATTCTGCACGTAACAGGATGAGTGAAAGTGAGCGCAACAATGGGCAAGTCCATCCGTACTTACTGGTGTCACCGGAACACAATGTTATTAGTATGGGCAAATACCCATTACACAATTAAGTGTACATTTCACTTCAAGTAAAATTTTCTTTTAAACATGGATTATTTCATAGAGCGAGAATTTTTTTAGGAGGGTTTTTGAAGGGGGCGGCTCAGATAGCTTACCTGGAGAAATACTTTTTCTTTAATATACACTCCGATAAAGAACCAAATTCAGACAAAATATCAGTTACGTTTTGTGACCTTTTACTGTGTATCTATTAACCTGTAGATTTGGTTTTAAATTTACATGTATAGATGTTAATAATGATATTCGATATTTATTATAATATAATCCATTCATATAATTCATATAATTCATTCTAGGTGTAAGGTGTAGAATAAATGGATATTAAATGCTCATTAGTCCCATGAATGTGTTTAAAAACAAAAATTGAATTGAAAAAAGATTATAAAGAATTTAATAACCCATTCAGCATTAATTTGAGTATTTTGGCAGCACTAAAAAAATTTGGTGGGAAAATTTTACAAATACTGTGGTACCAGATAAAGGGTGATTCAAAAATATGTAACATGTTACCAAACAATGACCTACACACTATTTACAACCTTATCTAACAAAAGGAGATGAATTAAGGTGTCCTGTTACATGTAGTTTAGAAGTAACAGTTGCATAGCCCCCCCCCCCCTCTTCCGAGTGCAAAGCCTTGTTAGCTTGATAAGTGGTTTCTGCTACAGCAACTTAGACTCAAAACTTAATGGTGTTCACTGCCATTGTAAATGTGTAAGCTGATGATGATAATTTTACATTAATTTATAAATAAGGGTAGATAGTGGATGCAGGATATTTTTTTAAGCAAAAAATTTACATTAGCCTAAGTAGCAGAATTTTATGTATATTTATTTTAAATGTTATTGTGAATGTATAATATATATTGTTCCCGAAATTAAATTAAATTTTTTAGACCAATATTTACTTGGAGTATTTTGCAGTGTCCAGGTTTAAAACATGTAAAAGTTATCTGAGATTCTGGAATGGTATAGTAAAATACATAAACATTTTACAAAAAAGGTACTAAGCAATAAAATTACTTAAAAGTCCCCCCAAAGATTACACAGACAGCAAGGTGATTCTGGAAGAGCAAGGCGTTCCCAGAATCAAGTAGAAATGGAAGAGTACTGGTAGTGTATTTACGAAACAGAGTCAAACAACTTTTGCGAAATACAAAATTAAGACACGTATGCTTTTTTTAAATAAGAACCAGCCATCTAGAGTTTTATGGCGTAACATAAAAGGTCTTGGGCTTGCGAAACAACCTGACGCAAAAAGAGTCAATAATCCGATAACTAATTTTTTATCCTTATTTTTCCTTTTTTTAAAGATAACTCTCATTTGTTGCATGCATATGGGTCTGATAGATAAACTATCTTGATTTCTTCTGTGATTTTTGTTTATTTTCAACAACCTATATGTAATTTGCAAAGGGTACGGTACCTATCATAATATAAGAGAAGAGTCTAACCCATGTTCTAGTTATAACAAATCAATTCCTTTATTGTTATTAGGCATAACAAATAAAGCTATATATTTGGTGACATAGGGCTATACAGTAACCCAATCAAGATTAAATCAATAAGCAAGGCTTAATATTACCGACATCAAAATATAAAAATGTAAAAGTATAATAAAAGTATAAAAAGTAGGCTTTAGGCTAGGTGTAATATACGGGACACACTGTACGACATTGTACGACAAACATCGTATTATACTCACAGTGTTGGGGAAGTTTGGTTGTCCTCGTGACAGACGCAGAGGTTCCTTAGTCCTGGCCACCAGACTCGCCGCCTGCCCTGCCTTACCGAGCGCCTGGGTCTGGGACTCCCTGCGTACAACCACACACTACTTCCAAAATAACACTTACACTTCTCACTCTCGTACAATATCTAGTTTTTGTAGTAATAATATAAATAAGTGTAGTGTACTTACTGACCATTAATAATTCAAGTTATCTTTGGCTAAGTGTTTTGTTAAATTTGTTTAAATCTGGGGCCCATTTCATTATAAACTACAAGTTACAAGTTACAACTTGTAACTTGTAATTTCCATTAGATTTGCATTGGGTGATCAGCTGATTTACTAATAATATTAGTTTGTACTTTATTATGAAATGGGCCCCAGGTGGCCAAAATAATTCATAATTTGCAGAACAATTTTTCCTCCATCCTTCCAATACTACTTTTGAACCTTTAATTTCATGCTGGGTCATTTAATCAAAATATTTGATTCAGAGAAAATTATAAACTTTGCTGGGATGAGCGCTACACTACATTGATCAAAAGCCTTCAACTATTTTAATCTGTAATTGTCGTTTCATTAATACTGTTAAACAATTATTCCTGTAAGTATACGTTTTTTATGAGAATTCCAGGCTCTTAAAATATGGTATTTATGGGCTTATTTGCGGAAGATTTTTTATTATGATTCGTAATAAGGTTTTTATGATGTTTCAGGATTTTGAAGGCTAGAAAATCACAAATGTAAATCCACACAGAGAGCTGCAACAGAGTTCTATGTTTGTATGTTTGTGCAGACAGGTAGTATTTCTTCAGTGATTTTCTGGCTTTGGCTGGGTTTGTGTTTGTGAACTAATATTGATTGATTTAGATACTTTCCTGGGTGAGGACTGGATCACATTCCAGATCCCGAGATTTTGTGGAAACTTGGATCTTACTCGTAATGGAAAATGTCTGCTACAATCCTAAATAGCATAGGCCTAAATCACCAATATTAAACGTAGGTGTTAAAATTACGTCTCAATTTTAATCAACCTCGAATGAGCTTTTTTCGAATTAAAAATCCAAAAGTGACTGAGTAATTTAATTTGAAATTCAATTACAGAATTTTGGAAATACTAATGAAAAGTTTTTAACAGTTCTTACAAGTCAGAGTTTCCCAGGTAAAGACAAAGGCTCTCAGAGTCGCCGGTGTCCGAGAGGTAGAGCCGGTGTCCGTCGGCGCTGACGGCGCTGGCTATACAACCACACAGCTCCCACAACACGTGTCCTACGCTTGGCCGGCGCTGTAGTGACGATGTCATCTCCTGCAGCATCTGGCGCTTGTCTGCGTGGACACAAAACTGCCAACACAGCATGATATTTTAATCACCGATTGCTGATATTTCCATCAGACACAAAGCAGGGCAAACCGTCTAGATAACAAAACCTGTAGAACGTAATTAATTGAAATAGTTTTATACTTTTTATTCTTCAATGGCATGCATAAGCTATTCATTATTTATAATTTGTAAAAGAAAAAATGCTAACATGAATATGAAAAAGGATGAGCGCAGAAAGCGAAGTGGAATGCTTTGTGTGGATTTGATTCTCCTAGAGAAAAAGCATTCCACAAAAAATGTTTACAATATGTGTTCACCTATTCTTATATTGAACCCTTCATAGAAGTTTGTCATTGGTATTTAAATGAAAGTGTCAAAACACTTTCAATAATGTTGTAAAATGTATTCAGTTCTTATAGGAAATAGGTATTTTACAAAGATAATAAGGAAAACGGTAAAAATACCAACCTTCCATCTTGATAGGCTAGTTTTTCGTCCAGCGCCACCTGTAAAAAATATTAATAAGTTAATTGTAATCAAAAATATCTAATGTAATTATTAAATTCTAGCGGATAGACGCACTAAAACAAATCATTCTAGTAAAAGGTCATTTAATTTACAGAGAATAGTTAAGTAGTGTAATCCACTAGATTCAAATCAGAAAAACTGTTGTTAAAACTGTTGTTACCTAGGTTGCTAGGATAACCAAAAAATAAACAAATGATTAAAGTAAATACAGAACACATGGTTATTGTGTTAGACAGTTTAGTGGCACCACATTAGCCCCCTGCGGAGTCTGGAAGACCGGGCACTTTAAATTTCACAGTACGACCAGATCGGGTCACGTAAGGCTTTGGTTGGCTTGAGAGTAGGGTCTTGAGTGGGAACACTGTGGAGGGTGGATTTCTGGAATGTTTATTATGGATGGGTGTATGTGTTGAAGGAGTAAGATCTTGCAATAGATACGCGGGCTTTACTCTGTCCAACGTCACCTTCACACGTTTACCACGATGGATTATAGTCATAGTTTTATCATCACGAGATACCACGGGAAACGGTCCAGTATAAGGTGGTTGTAGTGATCGTCTAACAGAGTCATCTCGCAAAAATATGTGAGTACACCGTTTTAACTCCTGAAAAACGAAGGTCTTTGGTTTATCATGCCAAGATGTGGGCACTGGTCTTAAATTTGACATGTGTCGACGTAAGCGAACTACATAGTCAGCCGGGTCCTCCTCACGAGTTGTGTCTTGAGGGAGGTCTAGAAGTTCTCCAGGTAGACGGAGTTGATGGCCAAAAACTAATTCGGCAGTAGATGCCTGAAGGTCTTCACGATATGCGCTGCGAATGCCGAGTAGTACGATGGGAAGTGCTTCAAGCCATGTTGAATCATTGTGGCACATGAGAGCTGCCTTAAACTGCCGATGGAATCTCTCGACTAAACCATTAGCACAAGGGTGATAGCCGCAAGTTCTGATTCGCTCTACACCGAAGGTCTTTCCAAGGGCACGAAATAATGCTGACTCAAATTGGCGTCCTTGATCAGTTGTGATGCGCAAAGGTGAGCCGTAACGGGAAAACCAGCACATCACCAGAGCCTCAGCTACTTCTTCTGCGGTGATGGTTTTCAATGGATGAACTTCTGGCCATCTGGTGTAGCGGTCGATAGCTGTTAGGCAATATTTGTATGGTCCGGATGGTGGAAGTGGTCCAATGATGTCAATGTGAACATGATCAAATCTTGATGATGGGAGTGAAAACGATCCATGGGGTGTAAATACATGACGGGAGATCTTAGCACGTTGACATTTCTCACAGGCTCGGGCCCAGTTTCGACAGTCTTGTTGAATTCGGGGCCAAACAAAGCGATTAGAAACAAGTTTTGCCGAAGCTTTGATGCCAGGGTGACTTAGATTGTGTATAGAATTAAAAACTGAGCGTCTAAGGGGCTCAGGGACAAAGGGTCGTTGTACTGAAGTTGTTGTGTCACAGTATACATCAAGGTCTGTTCCAGGAATTTTGACAAGCTTCAAATTAAGAGATGTCTCTCCCTTAAGGATCTCTTGTAGCTCAGGGTCAGAGTCTTGATGATGTGCCAAAGTTTTGGCATCTACAATGCTGGGAGCCGTAGTTGACAATGAATCTACACGAGAAAATGCGTCAGCTACTAGGTTGGCCGATCCAGAAACATGTCTTATGTCTGTAGTGAATTGTGAAATGAATGTTAGTTGGTTTTGCTGAACAGGAGGTAGTTTTTCACGTTTTTGACTGAAGGCAAATGTTATTGGCTTGTGGTCTGTGAAAACTATGCAATGATTTGCCTCAAGGTAGTGACGAAAGTGACGAATGGCGGCATATACAGCGAAAAGCTCACGGTAATAGGCTGGCCAAAGGGATTGTTTTGGTGTCAGTTTCTGTGAAAAGAAAGAGAGAGGTTCCCATGTTTTATTGTCAACCATCTGCTGGAGAGCAGCTCCTACATGGGTACTCGAGGCATCACAGAACAATGCGAGAGGGGCCTTGTGGTCAGGGTGAACAAGCAAGGTAGCATTGGAGAGATGTTCTTTGCAGGATAAGAATGCAGCATCCAATTCAGGAGTCCAATTTACAGGTTGGTTTCCACGTAGAGATGAGAGGGCATCATGGAGAGCTGCTTGTTGCTTGGCTGCTGAAGGAATGAATCTGCGGTAGAAATTCAACATGCCGAGAAAACGACGCAAACCTTTTGCAGTAGAGGGACGGGTGAATTGTTGCAGAGCCTCAACACGTTCAGGAAGTGGTCGAGTACCAGCAGATGATACCTCATATCCTAGGAAGGTAACCTTTGGAGCTTTCAAAACAGTCTTATTTACGTTAACGAGTATGCCATAATCAGAAAACCGATTGAATAGAGTTCGTAGATGGGCTTCATGTTCAGTCTCATCCTTAGAGAAAACTAAGACGTCATCTATATAAGGAAAGCAGAAGTCTAAACCAAAAACTACTTCATCGATGAAACGTTGAAAAGTTTGTCCTGCGTTGCGGAGGCCAAAGGACATGAAGGGGAATTCAAACAATCCAAAGGGGGTTGTAATGGCTGTCTTCGGGATGTCTTCAGGGTTGACAGGGATTTGTGTGTAGGCCTTCACTAGGTCGATCACAGAGAAATACTTGCAACCTCTGAGAGAATGGGTGAAATCGTGGATATGTCTAACAGGATATCTGTCAGGAATAGTCCTAGCGTTGAGAGCACGGTAGTCTCCACAGGGGCGCCATCCATCAGGTTTCTTAGGGACCATGTGAAGGGGTGATGACCAAGGTCCATCAGATCGACGTGCAGTACCATCGGTGAGCATGGCATCAAACTCGGCTTTGGCTATAACAAGCCGATCAGGAGCGAGTCGACGTGGACGAGATGAAACTGGGGGGCCAGGGGTCGTTTTGATGAAATGCAAGGTTGAATGGAGCACTTTTCTTGGTGTACCAGAGGGTCGGGTAATCATGGGAAATTCTGCCAGTATTGATGAAGTTGGAGAATTGGGTGTGATAGTTTTTATGCTGAAATGAGGGATTGAGGTACATTGACAAAAAACAGAAAAGTTTGTTACACTGTCAATCAACCGTTGATTACGACAGTCAGGAAGCAATCCAAAGTGTGCTAAAAAGTCAGAGCCTATAATCGCTGTATTAACATCAGCAATGACAAAATTCCATGTAAAAGCTCGTCTCAGCCCTAAGTTTAATGTTAATGTCATCATACCGTAGGTGTGAATGGCAGAGTTGTTTGCTGCACGAAGTTCATATTCTATATGCTTTTGGTTCTTACAAACGAATGATTTAGGGAGGCAGCATATGTCGGATCCAGTGTCAATCAAAAATTTTGTATTAGTTGTACGGTCGACGATTTGTAGGCGGCGCCCTCCAGCTTGGCAGTCAGCTGACGCCATCACTGGCTGCCTTTGGAGTTTGTCGGAGAAGTGAAATTGCATGGTGGAATGCACTTCTCAGCTTGATAGCCAAAACGCTTGTGGTACCAGCATAGATTGGTTTGCTCTGTAGTGTCAGAGGAGCTACCTGCGTGATAACGACTACTAGACAAACTCCTCTGACGTGACCTAGGTCGCCTGTCACGTAGGGAATCAACATCTTTACGCATATTTTTCATTTGCAACTCCAAAGCAGATAATTTTGATAAAACTTCAGTTAATTTTGGGTCATCAGAAAATGAAGATTTAGGATTTGGTGAATTAACGGCATTCAAAGATGTAGGCATACTAGTGAGAGAATGGCAAAAAGATGCGTTAGGTTGGACTGCTAGAATTTTGTCGGCAGTAATTGCAAGTGTGTCAGTTTGGGCACTTGTTTGGACTTGCAAAATACTTTGTATATGAGCAGGAAGTCTCTGCATCCAAATAGTTTTCAGTAAACTATCTTGGATTGTGGTCGAACCTACTAGTGATCGAAGGTGGCGTAGGAACTGAGAAGGAGTTTTGTCACCTAGTTCCTCCTCCATCAATAGCTGACGAATGCGTTGCTCCTCAGATAGAGACAACCGTCTGATTATTTCAGACTTAAGAGTAGAGTAAGGAGTTTCAACAGGTGGATCTATTATAAGATCCTCCACTTCATTAGCATAGCGCTCATCAAGATGTGAAATTACATACGAGTATTTAGTTGTTTCACTCGTGATGTGAGCCAGTGTAAACTGAGCCTCAACTTGGGCAAACCAGAGCCTTGGTTTCTCTTTCCAGAATGGTGGAAGTTTTATGCTTACCCGGTGGATGTGATGATCTTCATGTCGTTCGTCGGAATGGGCTGTATGATCTGGCTGATGCTGTGGTAGAACTGGTGGAAGATCAGGTAGGTTGGCTTCTTGAGGATGTACAGAAATGTGATTTTGTTCTTGTCTTCCATTCAAATCTTGAAGTTGTCTTTGTAGGTTGGCATTCTCACTCTCTAATTGAGCTAGGCGCTCCAAAAGTTCTTGGTCCATGGCGTAAAACGATAATTTGGGGAAAGGTGAAAAATAAATGAAGTTTTGGTAGAAGGTTGAAATTTAATGTAGGAAAAACATCAATTTAGTTTGAAATAATTTACTTGTTAGTCGGGGTCACCATTTCTAGCGGATAGACGCACTAAAACAAATCATTCTAGTAAAAGGTCATTTAATTTACAGAGAATAGTTAAGTAGTGTAATCCACTAGATTCAAATCAGAAAAACTGTTGTTAAAACTGTTGTTACCTAGGTTGCTAGGATAACAAAAAAATAAACAAATGATTAAAGTAAATACAGAACACATGGTTATTGTGTTAGACAGTTTAGTGGCACCACAAAATCTATTATAATTGGCAATTTATATTGCGTTAAATTAATTTGTTATAATTACTCATTTCTTTACGCTTACATTGGAATTAACATAGTCAAATAACAGTACAATAAAATATAAGGCAGAGTTAAAAAAAAATTAAATCTTTAATTTTGTAGAGGTACGGTAATCGCAGCTCAAATAATTAGCTGCTTCAGCTTCTAAGAGTATACTGTATTTTAGAAAACTAGTACACTTGTTGGTTGAATTCGTCTATTAGTAACGAAGGTGTAGTGTTTGGTAGAAATCACCTTCACGTATTATATACAAGGATTGTTAAGGGCTGAATGCTGCCCACCAAGACGCTCAAGAATAAAAAAAAAATTATTTTGATCATTTGATTATAATGTGACTGATAATCACCAAACAGGCATCCAAAGCGTTCTCAGATAAATTTTCTTTGTTAACATGTTTAAAATTGTTCACTTCGTTTGTAGCGATTTTAAGAACCTTTGGGAAGATCCAGACAGTTGATATGGGGGGCTGCTTTCAGGCTGGTGCTGCGAATCGCTCCCTTAGGAAAAATTTGGAACATGATAACTTCAGCAAATAGTTATTTGTGTAACTAGTGGTGAAAGTGGCACTTTGCTGCACACGCGGAATGATCTCGAGTGCAGCAAAGGCCTTTTTCACTCGTGTTACACATTATATTTTTCCTACAGTCACTATAAAGCATATAAGTAATTAGTCTTTCAAACACTAAACAACACGTTTTTAGGTTCAGCTGGCAACACAAATGGTGCCCTAGAGAAAGTAGTACCCGCTGTCCGTATCACTCCGCTATTTTTCCTCGGCAAGAAATGTGCTCCGCGTTTTGAGAATATAGTTCCGTATGTTTTTGTAATTTGAAGTGGTTTCCGCGCCTAAAAAAATGCTTTAAAGGTATTTTCTTGTTTATTAAGATCGTAGGAATGTTTTAAAAACGTTTAAAAGAAAAGTCCAGAAATTTCAGAAATACCAAAACTATAAACACGAAATGACAGGTTAAATCGTAGTTGTAATAGTCAATCAGCTGCTCATAGTATCATTATCTTTGAGTGTTGCCAACCTATTTCCAAGCGTACACGGATTACGTGCATAATAGAACCACGCTGTTTTGTGTTGTTTCGTTGGAATCCTGATGTGCGGCAAAGTATAAACCGTACGACAAAGTATAAACCGTACGGCAAAGTATAAATATGCAGCAATTAGCAGCTTTCTGTACTATAAACAGTGCAAGGAAGCCAACTTTGTCAGGTGACTGTAGGAAAAATAAATTTTGGAATATGAAGGCTTGTAGACTGTAAACCCCACCATGCCTATTTCTTGAATTTAGATTTTTTACTTACATTACTTCAAAAGGAAGAATGTAGCCCCTAAACTGCCACACCCCTCTCCTGGATCCGCTGATATAAAAACTTTGATAGGGAATACACTTAACTAGTTGATTTATCTATTTCATAACTCATAGTGGTTGGACCATTACTTCCAGTCTTCTTTTTCTCCTTCTGTGTGCGTCGGATGATCCAGCGTTCCAGCTGCTCTAGCTGGACCTCTTCCATGACCCAGGACTCCAGAAACTCCGGATGGCATCTTAGGAAGGCTGCCACTCTCTCCTCGGTCACCTCTGCCAACGACAATCACTCTTAGTTCCAGTTTTTCGTTAAGGTTTCACCCTTTGGATCATCAAAAATCAACAATGAAAAGTTCAGCTTAAGTTGTTGGATCGATACAGTGAAAAAAACGGATACTATAGCACTAAGTAAGCTGGACGTGTGACTGGTTTTCAAACAAACTAGCACATTCTTGAACAGGTTTATAGTAAAAAGAGGGGCGTGAATACAATTTTAAAATTCGAGAAAATTTATTGGTGCAATGATTTGTGTTTAATAAATGATATTTTTCAACTCTCAGTTTGAAAATAGTAGATATTATTAGGATGTACAGAAAAAAAACAGAAAAGTTTAAGCTATTCCCAACACTGTAGCTTAATAGCCTGTTTTTTAATGTTTGATTCAAGAAGAAACTCAAGCTTGGTCATTCACTGGTGCTCTTGCCCTACAAATCTTACAATAAATGTTCAACATTAAAAAATCAAAATACAAATTTTATTATCATTAGATTAAACATTGCACTACTCAAGGTCAATGGTACAACCTTATCTCTGTCACCTTGACCAACAAAGATGATAAACTAAGAGGAAGTAAAATAACATTTTACAGAACACTCTGTTGAACGTAAGTCCAAATAAATATTGCTTTAATCCAGAGTAAATTGGCTAAAGTTGGATTGCATGTCTAATATCCAAAGTCAATTGTCTTAAAATTGAAAAAATCACATATTGAAAAAAATTTTGTTTTGTCAAACTGCAGCTAAAACAGTAGTTTTTAATAAACGAGTTGCGGGTCTTTTTACCCCTTAGGGAGTAAAAACCTTTTTAGTCCCTAGGTCCTAGAAAATAAAAATCAGCTGTTGTGTAAACAGTTACTTCGATTGTAAGCAATCGCACACATCAACATTATTTATCGATTGTCTTATTGGGTTGTAGCTTATTGTTGCATTAATAATATAATGTACAATAATACTACAGGTTACAGACAATCGTATAGACGAAATGATAAATCACTTAAATGAAATAGAAGTGGTAAACTTTATTTTAACATCCCCATTTAATTTTACCAGTTTTAGAATTTATTAATTTAATAAATTAAATATTATTAATTTGGATTGAAAAATGTGTAAAACCCAAACGAGCCAAAGTAAAGATTATATCACAAAAGCGGTAAAGTATGTGTCTCGTAAACCTTATCATTTTAGACATTTGTAATCATTGTAATTATTTGCATAATTACCTGGATTCGTTGCTGTACATGAAACACCATTTTCAGCGCTGCTATTTCGTATACTGTTTTCACCTGAAACATCGAAACAAATACACTGTATCACTGTATCAGCAATCTGAAATATACTTTCTCTAGTTTGTCAACAAACCCAATGGGCAATTGGTGGGAGTAGCTGATGTTTTATGGATAAAACCACAAAAATGTAATTACTTTTTAATTTTTTACAGGATTGGGGGTTGTACAGTTTTGTTTAGAGTTAAAAGGACCTTAACATACTAAATCTTGGCAAATGGCCTTTAAAATGAAAAATCAGCATTAAAAATACAAATTTCAAAATAAGAACGAAAAAACTACTAGAGATGTCTTGGATTAGTACATACTAAGTTTCATCAAAATCGGACCACAGGAATTGTCTGCAACTACTCATCCCCTTTACACAGACACACACACAGACATCACTTCGAAAACCACTTGTTTAAGCGTAGGGGAAATCCAAAACCTAAACCAAACTAGGAAATTTCAACGAAAAAAAAACGTTCACTATATACTAATTAAATGAGAATAAAGTAAACATTATCATACGGCAAGTGTAGCTCTAAAGGCGTTTTAATCCATTTACGAATATAATAAAATACGTATTTGAACACTCTCCGACTTAGCTAAACTGAATACTGTAAACATGTACAACATAGTAACTATAAATTTAAAATATGGCTGCAATGGTGGTCGATTTTGCCTAGTCATTATCAAGCCCAATTGATTAACAATCAAATCAAATCAAATCAATCTTTATTTTAAACAAATAACAATGCAGCATTACAAATAAAATATATAAAAATTGTCCCATGGACTTCTGCCTGTGCGTGATAAGAGTTCAACACTGGCTGCTTAATGGTTATCTTGATACTATTTACGCACGCAAAAAACACATTTAGGGGAAGGTGGGGCAAGATGGGGTACTTAAGCATTTAATAATTTTTGGAAAGCTTCCTAATTAATTAATAAAAAATATTGATATTGCAATTTAACCTTCAGTCTTTGTAGATTATATATAAATATTTTTACTCGTCTAACTTAAAAACTTATATATAAAAAAACTGTTTTTGTATAGTTTACCAAGTACCCCGTCTTGCCCTACAGCGAGGGCAAGACGGGGTGAACTGATGGGGCAAAATGGGGTACCATTTCAAAGTAAGGCAAATAAACAAATAAACACTATACAAAGTTAAACACATTGTTTTTACACAAAAAGTTTAATGTTGTCATTAGTGATATTACGTGTTAACAGAAAACATAAAAATTACTCCTTTTAACAATTACAAATTACTCCGATTTATATTATTGACTTATTGGCATTTACTCTGTAATAAAAAGTATTGCAGTTACCAAAAAAATTAATAACATTACAACAAAAGATTCTTCTCCTTTAAATAAAACTGCCTGCAGTTAAAAATTATAAAATAACTTTCATAACTAAAATTACTCATCTCCTTCAAATAAACCTTCCCCGTCTTGCCCCCTGGTAATTGCCCTAGTCCCCACTTCTTGCCCCCGTGGACAATTTTTAGGTTAGGTTAGTATAATGTATAAACAATATAATCAATTAATCTGTATGTTGTAATAATTACTTCCTTAAAAAGACTTTAATTTAATGATAATAATAAATTGTATAAGAAAAAAATATGTCTCTGAGATTTTCTTACGTAAAAACAAGCAAAAATTACATCACGGTTGATGAAAAACACACTATGACTCATACACATCATGCGGTTTGCTTTAACTGGCTGGCTGCATTATCAGACAAAGGCATAGCAACAATCTACTACTTCAACTATTTACCGATAGGCTGAGACACTCTAAGGTAGAAATCACAAAAAAACGCGTCTTGCCCTCAACCCCGTCTTGCCCCACCTTCCCCTACACTTCTTAGTCTAATATAATTTAAATACATCCTTTAGGTGGTAACTAAGATTATCAAAATGGCAACCTTCGATATTATTGTAATCAATATACGACAAATATTTATTTGAAAGCTATCAACAATACCATAAATCAACATTAACGATTTGAAAACGGAGTTTAGTTGTTCAAAAATTGATAAATTTTATTAACTCCAAAATTTTACTCAACGGAAGTTATACTTAAAAGTCGGTTTGAGAGCAGCTGTTTATTTTGGCGGCAGTGAGCGTCGATCAAACGCGCCAATTTTAGCAAAACAATTAGAGGTGCAATATATAAGGCAATAATTACCGTTGGCTCAGACGCTTGAAATAATGCCAGGAAACGTTACGCACACCACTGAGGTCCCGGAGACGGTATTCGTTTTGTCCGTGTAATATTTTCATTAAAACTCTTCTCTTGTTAGAAACCCGTTTTCAGTGTTCTGTAAGAATATCAAAGAGTATTTACAATACTTTAAAAGCTCACAACTTCCAAATCTATTAGTCTAAAACCTCCAAAGTGAGAATTGCTTTATTTGTTTAAGTTACCAAACAAATTTATCTAGAGAAATTTATGTTACTAAGATAAATAGTTATAAAGCAACAATTACACGTTTAGATGAGTCGGGCTGTAACAAAGTAGAGAGTCTTAGGTTCGATCCCCGATGTTTTCACTTAAAATTTTTCAGTCCAGTTCATTCTCGTTCTGTTTCGGTTCTCCTCTTGTCTGGCTCGATACGTTCCAAGTACGAGATCCAAGTTGACGGGCGCAAGGCCGTAGAACGATTGGTACACATTTTTAGCCGATTTGGAATAGCACGACTGGCACAATCATTAGAGGGGATTAAGAAGGGCCAACTTGTAAGGTTCGGAAAGGCACGATTGGCACAACAGACCAGTAAGTAGCAGGCAGGTTGCCATAATGCGGGAAATGGAAATTGTTTTGTCCCCACAAATTCCCTACTGTAGTGCTTACTAATAAGCAAGGTGTAAGTTTCAAGACAAATCTGCAGCTACCGGTCACTGCGCTAGCTGGATCCAAATACTATACTAACCTAACCTAACCTAACCTAACCTAACTTAACCTTTGAAAATACACAATATTACCGGCAAATGACTGTCGTAGAAGAGTTGACGGGGAATTTTAAAATTCCCGTTTTCCCTCGTTTGATGGCGTCTACCTGGTCGAGCAGTTGTGCCAATCGTGCCTTTTCCAAGCAGGCGAGTTGGCCCTACTTAATCCGCTTAAATGATTGTGCCAATACTGCCATGGGCAGGAGATTAAAAAATGTGTGCCAACCGTCCCGTTCGAAATTGGAAAGCTTGAAAATGCCTTGATAATACAATAAACAATTAAGATACACCAGTAAATGACGAAGTGTATGAAGTAAATGAAGTTTGAGCTCAGCTTTTGTCATAGGAAGATATGTTTTTAAGCTAGTGTGAAGAATACTTTAAAAGTCTTATCCGTATCTACTCTACTAATGAAGAAAAAATCATGTGTTATTTCCAAACAGTGTTGAAAAGTACAATATAAATCGTTGCACCAGTGAATAACCGCATACTATATAGATTCTTAAATTATGTAAACTTAATGACTACAGAGCTCGGTCCTCTGGTACTCTAAATAAAGGACATAATTTAAAATAAATGATCACACTAGATATTTGTGTATCTACTAGTAGTATTAACACGTTATATTTTCCTACAGTTATTATGAAGCATATACAAAAATTAGTGTTTCAAACCCTAAACAACGAGTTTTAGGTTAGGTTAAAATCAAAGTGTTGAACGAAATGGGAAACATTGCACCAGCTGATCACAGTACATCTTTTGGTGCCAACTTATTTTTCCTACAGTCACCCGACAAAGTTGGCTTCCTTGTACTGTTTATAGTACAGAAAGCTGCTAATTGCTGCATATTTATACTTTGCCGTACGGTTTATACTTTGTCGTACGGTTTATACTTTGCCGCACATCAGGATTCCAACGAAACAACAAAAAACAGCGTGGTTCTATTATGCACGTATTCCGTGTACGCTTGGAAATAGGTTGGCAACACTTAAAGATAATAATACTATGAGCAGCTGATTGACTATTATAACTACGATTCAACCTGTCATTTTGTGTTTATAGTTTCGGTATTTCTGAACTTTCTGGACTTTTCTTTTAAACGTTTTTAAAAAATTCCTACGATCTTAATAAACAAGAAAATACCTTAAAAGCATTTTTTTAGGCGCGGAAACCACTTCAAATTACAAAAACATACGGAACTATATTCTCAAAACGCGGAGCACATTTCTTGCCGAGGAAAAATAGCGGAGTGATACGGACCGCGGGTACTACTTTCTCTAGGGCACCATTTGTGTTGCCAGCTGAACCTAAAAACGTGTTGTATACTGTTTGAAAGACGAATTACAGTATTTATATGCTTTATAGTGACTGTAGGAAAAATATAATGTTTAACACGAGTGAAAAAGGCCTTTGCTGCACTCGAGATCATTCCGCACTCGCCTGCGGCTCATGCATAAATATTGCTCTCGTGTGCAGCAAAGTGCCACTTTCACCACTAGTTACACAAATAACTATTCAAGCGTACACGAATTAAGTGCCTGATAAAAGCATGTTTTTGTTGTTGGCTGGGAATAGTGGACGGAGTGCGGAAAAAATGAGTGTGGCAAAAAATGAAATGCGTGCGGCAAAAGTAAAATGAGTGCGGCAAAATTAATTAAATTCAGCAATTAACTACTTTGCGTGCTATATTCAGCACAAGAAAGCCCACTTTGTCAGGTAACTGTAGGGAAAAATATTTATGCCCATCCAAGAGGATGAAAAACTTTCATTTTGAAAAAAAAAATTGAAAACTTAATCTCAGTGAGTAAGCTTCCATTACAAGAGGGTTTACCCTGGTTTATTATGTGACACACGTCAGAATGAAATCTCCCATGTGGGCTTTGTAACGGCGATGTGAGTGATTTTCAGTGGAAGGATAATATTACATTTATTATATGTCTTTGCAATAGTATTACAGTATTTGAAGAGGGAGAATTGTTGGGGAAAACATTGAAGAGCTTTTTAATGTTATTTTGTATTTGGAGTAAGTGCGGCGAGTGAAGGGAAGGAACAATGAAT